CTAATTTCCAGACTATTTGATATGATGCTTTTCACTCGAAAGCTTTTCTAGAGCTACGAATTCTTTCATTTGTGGATTCATACCATGGGCGTATTTTTGTTCCAACATTGACATTATGCAGCACAGTTAATAAATTATTTCATAAATTTAGCTTTTTACCATGAAATCATAGATAGAATTTCGTTTGGATATATAACGTTTATATGATAAATATTACATCTTCATGAAATTATACCTGACATTTAGATGCAGACGTTTAAAAACATAATTAAATAAACAGACATAACCAATATTATGGAATCATCTGTTTAGATACTGAAAGAGTATCAAAAAAGTTGTTCGAATAACATCTTAGAGTGAGAAAAAAGGTGTATTGTAGCTGCAGCTGTCTACAATGCTCCCTGAATATCCTTATAAATCAAAATTGAACTGCACAATCTGAACATCATAATTTGTTCATTGTATGATAAAACAAATCCACCTACTCAACCATAAATGATTGCAAACAATGTTACTTGAATTAGCGTGAATAATTTTGCATATATGAATAACATGATCCAAAAATAATATTTTTTATCTATTTCCGTCAGTTCTGCTACACGTGTAGTCTTAAAAAGTACTGAGATAAAAGTTCTTTATTTGAGTTCAAGATTCAAGGAAATTCCAATATGGATCATAAATTACCGCAGCATGATAGGAAACGAGCAGTAAAGTTGATGGCGAGTGCTTGAGAGAATGTTCATACTGCCTTAATATGCATAGCATGTGAAAGAGAAGACAGTAAAACGAATAAAAAAGAAACGTATGAAGCCACACTTTTATGATAGTTCTATAACAGCCACACATGCCTATTTGATCCTTTTTGAAAAGTAACACAAGTTTTAATAAACTTTCAGGAACGTAAAATTATACATTATGTAAAAATAAAGGCTTGTGCTGGCTTGTGCAACATTTGAGTTAAAACTTTTTTTACACAATCACATAAAGGCTTACGTAATTCTAATTTATTGAAAACTTTAAATGTGCCTTTTCTCTTTTCATGTCTGATTTTGAACTATAGAATTCCTATAGCAAAGTACAAATAGTTATTAAGATATGCAATATACAGTTCAATACAAGCTTAATTAAAATTGTTAATTAACTAGTGTATCGGGTAGAAACCCAATGCGGATATATTCACACCGTACCATCAAAAGTCTTATGGATAGACCAAGATTTGCTCAGCATAAATTTGAAGGGTGGGCGTGAAGCACGGCCGAGACCCATATCGACACAGTTCAAAAGTTATACCTAATTTTTGTCATAATTATGTCAGCTACAAAAACACTTAGTTTAAATTTCGTCACCCTTGGGAACACTATGAACCAGTATAGCTCACACTTATTTGAACCACATTTTCTCGTTAATGTTAAAATATTATTAAAAAGTAATTAATCCTGAATTATGTCGCTATTTTGTCAAGTGTTTTAAGAAAAAGAATTTGTTTTTTGGTTTCCACAGTGAAGAGTATGAACAAAATTCAGATGGGGTAGTCGACATTTTAGATTTCGATTTTTTTAAAGCTATGCATTACAAAAAGTAATATTGGTATGTGATTTATGTCAGAAATATGTTAATTCAAATAAAACATACAAAAAATTTTTTTGACCAAAGTACACCATAGAAAATCAAAATCAATTTTGTCACTTTTTCCTTCGAGGGTTTATCCAAATGGATTGAAACTTTGCATAAATATTTTAATGCTTAAAACAAATACAAATAAAACATTTTAAAATTTTTTTGAGCAAAGAACCAAGTAGGAAATACAATTTCAATTTTGGACTAGGGGCGACCCTAGTCAAAATCAATTTTGTCACTTTTTTCTTCGAAGGTTTATCCAAATGGATTGAAACTTTGCATAAATATTCTAGTGCTTAAAACAAATACAAATAAAACATCTTAATATTTTTTTGAGCAAAGAACCAAGTAGGAAATACAATTTCAATTTTGGACTAGGGGCGACCCTAGTCAAAATCAATTTTGTCACTTTTTTCTTCGAGGGTTTATCCAAATGGATTGAAACTTTGCATAAATATTCTAGTGCTTAAAACAAATACAAATAAAACATCTTAATATTTTTTTGAGCAAAGAACCAAGTACGAAATACAATTTCAATTTTGGACTAGGGGCGACCCTAGTCAAAATCAATTTTGTCACTTTTTTCTTCGAGGGTTTATCCAAATGGATTGAAACTTTGCATAAATATTTAAGTGCTTAAAACAAATACAAATAAAACATCTTAAAATTTTTTTGAGCAAAGAACCAAGTAGGAAATACATTTTCAATTTTGGACTAGGGGCGACCCTAGTCAAAATCAAATGTTTTTGAGCAAAGAATTAAGTAGGAAATATATTTTCAATTATGAACTTGGGACAGGTCTAGTCAAAATCTAGTTTTTCACTTTTTTTTCTTCGAAGGTTTATCCAATTACAGTGAAAATTTGTGTGAGTATACTAATATTTATACAAAACAGTTTTAAATATCTAAAGCAAGAAATGTATTCTATATGTCGTCAGACCCAAATTTTATAAATTTGGTTGTACATTCAAAAACAACGTGACTTAAAATTTTGTCCCAAAAAATGATTTTTATTCATTCAGAAATGTGTGACCTGATGATTAGAATGCTCGTACAAAGTTTTACTGTATTTGGATTTATCCTCGAAGAAAAAAAAGTGAAAAACTAGATTTTGACTGGACCTGTCCCTAGTCCAAAATTGAAAATGTATTTCCTACTTGGTTCTTTGCTCAAAAAAATTCTAGGACGTTTTATTTGGATTTTTTTAAGCACTAGAATATTTATGCAAAGTTTCAATCCATTTGGATAAACCCTCGAAGAAAAAAGTGACAAAATTGATTTTGACTAGGGTCGCCCCTAGGAAAGTTTTTTGCTTTTTCTGAAGCAACGGCTGTTCCTACCTTGCCCAAAAACAATACAGCTCTTCTATAGAGCAGCACGGATCAAATGTAAAAAACTAGAAGTCTCTACAATGTCTCGTTATTGAGATTTCTTGCTGATTAACTTGCTTGTTTGCTTGCTTACAGAAAGCATATTTTGCGATTTTCTCAGCAATGCCCCAACCAATTTGAAATCTGTTTTTTGCAAAAGATGTGAAATTCAAGGCACAAACTTTTCATCTCTAAACATTTTAAGCTTTCTTGCTCCATATCCTCACAAAATTCAAAAAACTGATTTTTCAATCTGAACAAAACCAATAGATTCACACGTGAAAACGGTGTGAATATAAAAATTCCTTTTAAGTCAATAAAGCACAATAAAGAAACTTTGTGTCTCATACTTTCTGGAATTTCGTATCTAAATACATTTAAAAATGAACGTGACTATGCTCTTGACGGTACTCAGGAAATTCACCCGACAACAAGGTTTTATTAAAGCTACAAACTGGATGTATTGATCTTTATAGATCATAATAATTATTCTTCCACGAAGGAAATTTAATGAAGAAGAAAATTGGTAGAATTGAATGTTTTGTGGTATTTTATATAAAAGTCATTCATTTGTGACGTCCTCTTTTAAAAATTAGGTAAAGCTTTCTAATTGGAATCTAATTAAACAGTTGATGTCATTTATTATCGACCCCACGATATTGCAAACATTATTTTGATTAATGCTTGATATTCATTTATTCGTGAAATACAAAATGTGAACCCTAGTAGAAAGGTACGAATGGAAATGTAGCCATAGAATAAAAACATTTGTCAATTAATAAATATTCATTGAACTATGACTGAAAAATTAACGTTATTGCCATCGATTATGCTTGCAAAGGATCAGGATGTGTACAACAGATTTCTCACCTTTTTTATGGTGGTTCAAAGGTTTTCTTTGAGTAATTTCAATTATTGTGTAAGCTGCAGACCCGAATGGAACATGTCGGTTAATCGAATAAAACTCTTGCATGTTGCTGGATTCGATTTAAATCCAGCACCATGCCAGAGTCACACCAGCTTAGTGCCGGATTTTTGATCGATTAACCGACTTGTGCCATTCGGGAGCAAGCACTTCTGGAAATTTAACTGGATTCAAAAGCTATCCCTCAATTCTTCTGATCATCATTTCTTCGTGCTTTTGCAAACTTTTTTGTTAATTTTGGAAATAGTAGTAAAACATGATGGACTGTAAATAAATATGAATCATGCTGGAATTCATTACGCGACTCTTTAATAAAGAAAAAGAAAAAGTTTATTGACTTCAGCTACAGCTGTTGAGCAAATAAGAAAATTTGATCTAGGAAATGACTCGTGCGAAAATATTTATTTCCTTTGGACCCATCTTATGCTTAATTAAATTATTTAATTATAGATGATTACATTTCTCATTTAAGTTGATACTTGGCTTCATTTTTGAAGAAATTGTTGAATATCGTAGCTCGTAAGTTAAGGAATAAACATAATAACTTTTTAAAGCGTGTGATATGTAACGTTATAGTACTTAAGCTTCTTATTTACATCTTGTATATTTTGTATTAATAGTTTATACTAAAATACAATAAAATGAATCAATTATTATAAAAAAAAAAAAAAAGCACACAAAACTTTCTGTAAATTTGAATTACTTCCAATAAAATTTAGTAGAGTCCTTTTTAATTTAAACACGTGTTGTGGGTTAAGTATTATTTCAAAAAATATTAATTCTTATTAAGTTTCCGAAATGCTTCCTATTGATATTATTATGTCGATTTGACTACACGTGAACAAATGACATGCTCATAATAAAAGTAAGAAGAGAACTAATCTAATCATCACAGTGTGGTATTTTGTATTTTCGGAATATTCTTCTATTGATAAAAAAGACATGAATGAGAAGAAATTTGATGTTACACGAGGATTATATTATTCCGTGTTGGACACACACATGATGTGTTTGAAGAAAATTTCTAACGGTTTTTATTTGAATTTCAGACATTTTGAACTGAACACACTCAAACTTTTGGGAACTGAACAACGCTGCATAAAATGGTAAACAAACAAATATTTTTATTTAATTCGACTGTAATTTAGTGCTGTTTAATTCTTTAGGAACCAGTAAGTAATTTTGTCGTCCCTGGAGCAATAAAGGAAGAAGATATAAAGAGGATTGAAGCAACAACAGAGTCAATTTCTGACAATATTTTAAAATTTTCATTTTTTCATTCTGAAAATCGGAAGTTTATAACATTTTTGGACATTCAGCTTTTTGTGCCCTTTGATGAGAACCTGGATATTGATCTAGTGGAAAAGTTTGAGGAATTGAACATTTCTTTGTAGCTGTCTGTGAAAATATGCAATTTATGGAATTTTAAATAGGAACTTAATGGATTATAATGAATTAAAAGATCGACTGGATGAAATATTTACTGAGTGCATTAGAGGAAAAGAGAAAGTGGAACTAGAATTTGAGGTCAGTATTACCAAATTATAAACAACAATGCTGAAAATAATTAAAATATATTTACTTAACTAGGTTTTTGAGAAGAAATTAATGAAATATCAAGACTATAAGGTTGTTCATCCAAAGAAGAAGCTTAAATATAATAAAACAATTAAGGAACCAGAAATCATCCCAAACATTCTTAATAAAACTTACAACATTGAGGAAGCTGTTGAATCGAAGGAATTAATTGAACCAACTCAATCGTACAATCCAACACCATTGTCAACAAAAATGCACATCAAAAACATCTTTAAAGGAAGTGAAAAATCGCAAGCTCAAGTCCCAGTGAAGAAATTCAAGAGAAAGCTGGACATAAAGAAACTCCAAGATGAATCATCGTTTTTCTTTAACAAAGTTCCACCGTTACTTCCTTTAGTAATAACGAGAAAACCGATAACATTTGATGACCTGGACACCGATGATGAGCAACCGAAAGGTCAATATCCTAAATGGTCCTTTCCACGTTATTACATGAGAAAAATGAAGGAACAAGTTTATGTTGAATGGAAACTTGTTGAACAGTTCTATTCTTGTCCAAGTTTGGATGCAGCCAGTGTCTTGTCAATCTTTCCTTCAACAAGCCCCAGCAGGTTAGTTCGAAATGAATCATCGATTTGGGATTCTGAAATTGTTGAAGGCTGTTCTTTTATACAATAAATACTTTTGGAATTTGTAGAGTCTGAACACAGTTTAAATCTACTTTAATATAATCAATCGTTTTGTTCGACTCTTATCTACTTAAATATCTATTCAAAAAGTGCCCGTCATTTATCCGCTCAATGAAGCTTCATCCCCTCGATCTTAACGCAGCTTCAGACCCCTACAGAATTTAAAGAAATTACAAAAGAGTTGTTCTGTTGATTTAAGATTATGAAATCAGAAGATGATTCTTAAAGATGCATAACAATTCATAGCTAAATAATAATTAATAATCTATGGAGACAAATCTCAAAATTAATTTAAGAGAATATTTATCGATCAGGGCATCAAACACACGATCCATAAATTGAATAAGACATGTTCCAGATTGATAAAGAATAAGAAAATAATCTCATTGAGTTTACTATCTACAGGGAGTTATTTATCCGATAACAAGATTCACGTGTCTGCTTATCTTCCATACATGATACACAAAACCAAATAACGAAGCCAAAGCACAGACAATTGATTTGCGAATAAGAAGAATTGTGCTAAAAGGTTAAAAGCTCTGAATTTCTTTATTCCTCGCCCGTGAAGATTTCGTGATAAAAAAAAGAGGGGAGATGAAGGAAGTACGGTCTTTAATTTGATTGCACGTGCTGAAGATTAACGGCAGTTTTCCGACAATTGAGGAGAATTTATCATACTTTGCGGTATCCTTGGGATATTATCACAATCAACTTTTCTTTTTTTTGGTATCATTGCTTGGTTATTTTATTATTTATTATCTTTTATTATTAATATGAACTGTATTTCTGACTGTTGATTGTATTTTTAAAATTTTCTGCAAAGTACTTCCTTTTTATATCTTTTAAAAATACATTAAATCAATAGAATTCTATTAATAATTGAACCAAAATCATTTTGGATGGCACGTAATAATATATTATTGTATGTTTCAATTTTTGAGAGTCCACTTGAGGTTTGCATAATATTTTTTCAGGTAAACATTAGATTATGCAAGGCTTTCATATTCTGTATTATTTACATTATCATCCAAAATGTATTGTTGCTTTACATCCACAAATTATTAGCTTCCGCGTGGAACACGGAAGGTGTTTCTTTATGTCGTTCAAATTTTGTCACCCAACCTACAGGTCCACTGTATTATCCAAAAGTAATGATTTATATGGCAAAATTTAGCCCTTTTCGTCTTGTAAGGCGGAAATTATGGCGCTTTGCATGAACTTTTTTTTTGAGACCGTAGTGCTTGATGGAAGATTTTCGCAAAATCTCCATGCAAACAATACATTTGCTTTAACTTTTTTTTAAAGCCTTAAATCAAAAAATAGCTGGTTGTTTAAATGTTTTACATCTTCTCAGGAATCGATTGATACCAAAATCATAATTTTTGGTGAAAGTCCTGATCCATTAGAGCGAAAAAACAAGCTTTTTTGGAGGATTAAATTAAAATTGTTCTGGTGCACTTGTCTTAGAGAACTTTTAAAAAAAACATTTTTTGGAATGTAGGGCCTTTAAAGACCTATCCAATGATACTAAACATGCCCCACTTCCATCAACACCTACGTAGATATAACGATTTCAAATTTAAATCCGATGGATTTATTTTAATCCTCCCTATATTCATTACGAAATCAAAAATGGTTAAAAATTTGTCACCCAACCTACAGCTCGCAACTCAAAATCAATCATATTGATATGTATATCAATAGAAAGCTACAAAGGTCTAGTAGGGCGGAAATTTAGGCGCTTTGCGTGAATCGTCTTAGTTCTCGAGATATAGTGAAAATAGTGTTTAATCTGGTGGATTATAAATAAACCCAGAGGATTAAAAATTAAATCAGTAAAATCTTTTAATTTTCAAATCCATTTTTTCCGTGTGATATCTTTAATTAAAGGTAATTACAAGGAAAATAATCAACCATTAAAAGAAATTCATTTTATTTGGTATTGAGTGGGTTTAAGAAATATTTATGTAAATCTTGATCAATTTTAAACCGGATTTGAGGGTATATTAGCACTTTTCATAATTTATGATACCTAGATATAGTTTAAAATACAATTTAAAATATTTTTGGTTTTCGATCATAGTAGGTTATTTTCAAAAAAATATCGATTTTATATCTATATAAACATTCTATATCATTTATAATACCTAGATATGTTTTAAAATGCAATTTAAATCAATTTTGGTTTCGATCAAAGTAGGCTATTTTCAAAAAAATATCGATTTTATATCGATATTAGCATTTATTATCATTTATAATACCTAGATATGTTTTAAAATGCAAATTAAAGCATTTTTGGTTTTTGATCAAAGTAGGCTTTTTTCAAAAAAATATCGATTTTATATCTATATAACATTCTTTATCATTTATAATACCTAGATATGTTTTAAAATGCAATTTAAAGCAGTTTTGGTTTTGATCATAGTAGGCTGTTTTCAAAAAAATATCGATTTTATATCGATATTAGCATTCTTTATCATTTATAATACCTAGATATGTTTTAAAATGCAATTTAAAGCATTTTTGGTTTCGATCATAGTAGGCTATTTTCAAAAAAAAATATCGATTTTATGTCAATATTAGCATTCTTTATCATTTATAATACCTAGATATGTTTTAAAATGCAATTTAAAGCATTTTTGGTTTTGATCATAGTAGGCTATTTTGAAAAATATCGATTTTATATCAGAATTAGCATTCTTTATCATTTATAATACCTAGATATGTTTTAAAATGCAATTTAAAGCATTTTTGGTTTCGATCATAGTAGGCTATTTTCAAAAAAAAATATCGATTTTATATCTATATAAACATTCTTTATCATTCATAATAACTAGATATGTTTTAAAATGCAATTTAAAGCATTTTTGGTTTTGATCATAGTAGGCTGTTTTCAAAAAAATATCGATTTTATATCGATATTAGCATTCTTTATCATTTATAATACCTAGATATGTTTTAAAATGCAATTTAAAGCATTTTTGGTTTCGATCATAGTAGGCTATTTTCAAAAAAAAAATATCGATTTTATATCTATATAAACATTCTTTATCATTCATAATACCTAGATATGTTTTAAAATGCAATTTAAAGCATTTTTGGTTTCGATCATAGTAGGCTATTTTCAAAAAAAAAATATCGATTTTATATCTATATAAACATTCTTTATCATTCATAATACCTAGATATGTTTTAAAATGCAATTTAAAGCATTTTTGGTTTTGATCAAAGCAGGCTGTTTTCAAAAAATATAGTTTTTATGTCTATATTTGCATTCTTTATCATTTATATTACCTAGATATGTTTTAAAATGCAATTTAAATCAATTTTGGTTTCGATCATAGTAGGCTATTTTCAAAAAAAAATATCGATTTTATATCTATATAAACATTCTTTATCATTCATAATACCTAGATATGTTTTAAAATGCAATTTAAAGCATTTTTGGTTTCGATCATAGTAGGCTATTTTCAAAAAAAAATATCGATTTTATATCTTTATTAGCATTCTTTATCATTTATAATACCTAGATATGTTTTAAAATGCAATTTAAAGCATTTTTGGTTTCGATCATAGTAGGCTATTTTCAAAAAAAAAATATCGATTTTATATCTATATAAACATTCTTTATCATTCATAATACCTAGATATGTTTTAAAATGCAATTTAAAGCATTTTTGGTTTCGATCATAGTAGGCTATTTTCAAAAAAAAAAATATCGATTTTATATCTATATAAACATTCTTTATCATTCATAATACCTAGATATGTTTTAAAATGCAATTTAAAGCATTTTTGGTTTCGATCATAGTAGGCTATTTTCAAAAAAAAAATATCGATTTTATATCTATATAAACATTCTTTATCATTTATAATACCTAGATATGTTTTAAAATGCAATTTAAAGCATTTTTGGTTTTGATCAAAGCAGGCTGTTTTCAAAAAATATAGTTTTTATGTCTATATTTGCATTCTTTATCATTTATATTACCTAGATATGTTTTAAAATGCAATTTAAAGCATTTTTGGTTTCGATCATAGTAGGCTGTTTTCAAAAAAATATCGATTTTATTTTAATCCTGACTTATTTATTGTATTGTAATTATTTGGAATATTTACACCGTATTTACGTTGGTTCACGTTCTCTTGCAATTCTATTGGTTTTGTTCAGATTAAAAAATCTGTTTTCGCATTTTTGAGAAAACGAAGCAAAATTGGTTATAAAAGGTTCCAGAAAAAAAATTGTTTTTTTAAATTTCCCATCTTCTGCAAAAAATAAGATTTCAATTTGGCATTGCTTAGAAAATCACAAAACACGCTTTTTATAAGCAAGCAAACAAGCATGCAAGTTAATCAGCAAGAAATCTCAATAACGAGACATTGTAAATACTTCTGGTTTTCTACATTTGATCCATGCTGCTCTATTGTTAGCTGTATTGTTTTTGGGCAAGGCAGCAATAGCCATTGCTTCAGAAAAAGCAAAAAACTTTCCTTTCTTACAAATTTTTCAAAACAAAAGTTCACTGTGATTTTTATAAAATTCAACTTTGGATGAAAAATTTTTTTAAAAAACTTTTTAAGAATGTTCGTTAAGCTGTAAACCTTTAAACATATGCTCAGCTGACTCGCTGGTTTTATACTTTCAAACTTACCAAGCTTTATACCTTCAAACTTATGCTAAGCAAATCTTGGTCTATCCATAAGACTTTTGATGGCACGGTGTGAATATATCCACATTGGGTTTACCCGATACACTAATTTTCGTTTTGTGATATATATAAAAAACTGTAATCTATAATAAGTCAAATGCGGAAGCTAGTGACTTTCTACGTAAGTCGTGTTTTCATAATTCTATTCAATTCGCATGACTCGCAACAAAACATTGCATTAACTAGCATTAACAGATCAGTGAAAATAAGTTTATGATAAAAAGCGGCATGTGTAAGCGTTGAAAAGTTTGGAATAATGACCTACATTTTTTGCCTGCTCTAGAAAATGTACAGCGACCTAAATTACCTAGTAATCCTTAGAAATTTGTTTTGAATTCTAAACAAATAAAAAATCTTTACAATGTACAATATTGACTCAATGAAGAATATATAAACACTTATCAAGCTAGCTAGCAGACAGCTATAGTACAGTGGGGGTCATCGATTTGCATAATATTTCATCAGGCTCAAGCAATTGTGCAAATCAGAGACTCAACAGTTGATATATGAACCAGGCAAATCTAGTATTTAATAAAGGAAGTAATTTATCATTTTGGAGATTATTCTTATATTTAATAAAATAAAAACAACGTTTATCTTAAATATGCCTGAAGAATTTGACCCAGTTATGTGAATAAACACCTCTTTAGATCTTTATACTCACCAGTATTCCCAAACCATATGATTAAGAAATCATGTGCATTCTTCTTTTTAAAACCAATAACAACACGAAACAAAAAGTTGACACGCGTGCATGTATTGCTAGACATAAACTAATGAATGCTTAGAGTCAAATACTCCCCCAGAGAAAGTGAACTAAACTAGCGCTAGTTTTATATGAATTTTAGTGACATTGAAATGATGAGCACATATTAAATAAAATAACAGCAATAAACAAATTTGTTTAATCTACAAAATGACACATACCAATTAATACTCGTGACCATTTATTACCATTACATAATATATAATATCCACATTTCATCCACAAAATTCATCATCAGCGCGTGTTATAGCTGCATGCTTTTAGATTGATGTTCAGCACAAGCGGTGAAATTAAATAAAATATAACAATTGCGTTTTAGAGGAAGGAAGAATGATGGGAATGTCAGCACGAGTACTTGGTTTTGGAGTTTTCTTCTTATTGTCATAAGCAACAGACATCAAAATTATAATTTATCCTTTTTTTCTCACGTTGAATTATCATACTCTGCTAATTGCGTTGAATTAATCTCAACGAGCTTAATAATACAGAATGGATAGTAAATAAAAGGACTTTAATTCAATTGAATGCTCTTGTAATTTTACAATGTAAAGATTCATCATTTGCTAGATACACGTGCTACTTTTATGTCTTGTCTTGTCTTGTCTCGGTTCAAAGTCTAAGTGGTTTAGAGATTCCTATTTCAAATGGAAATGCATAGCAGAATAAAAATCATTTTATTGTCTGTAATATACAAAAGATACAGCAGTCAATTTTAGTAAGAATCTTTCAGAAAGATTTTTTTCAAATCAACATGTTTGCAGCATTAGCAAATCACACGCTTGTTTACTCATTGGCACTGCCATAAAGCCTCTTTTACCAAGATTGTAAACGTTTTTTTTTGTTTTCCACACAAGCTGTAGTTTTTGTGGATGTAAGTTAATGGCTTCCTGACAGATGATGACTATTTTACTGAAAACATAAATTTTACTCGTGAAAGCTCAAGAATTGATAAACAATTAATTTAATTATTATCTAATTAGTAATGCATACGACTAGCTACACACTTTTGGCGAAAACACTCGTGCGTGACAATGCGACATTTCACGCTTTCATTTTGTTGCTTGGTTTCCTTCTTGTAAAGGCATGGAACATGAGAATAACGTTAATTTTTTTTGCGTTGCAAGGCAGTGCTTCTTAATATTTTGGTGACACTTATTTGTGGTCACAATTCTTTTGTACTGAGCCGAGTTTTTGTTTCATTCGAAAACCAGAGATATGTGATTCGATATAAGTCCAGTGTTTCTCCTAGATTCTTCTTGTAAAGATTGATAGAACAATTTGGCATTGATTATTAGTGCACCGTTAAATGGTAAACGATAATTTTCTGTGTTATGATCAAAAAATTACAGAAGTCCTCGTGTTATTGATCGAGGGACTTAAGCGCATTTTTGTGATAGTGATCAGTATTTGATCATCTATTTAATTTGCGTTCATTTACAGATCATTAGAAGATTAGAAGATCATTGATTTTAGTACAATTAGCAAATAATTACAATGAATTCTTATATAGAAAAGTTTTATTATTTAAGTCAATAAATAATTTGCAATTTTCCCGCTAAAAGTTGCACTTCAAAAACAATAACTTTAGTATAATGAGTATAATTAAATAATTTGTTCCAATGAATTTCCATATAAATTGTTTATCATTTAACGGTTTTCTTAAGTTCAAATTTTGTAACGGTCGTATGCATTTGAAAGTATCTTGACAAAAATTACAGTAAATGCATTAATTATAGTATAAATAACAGTCTGTTGCAAAAAAAAAATTTCATATAAAAAGGCTTGGTAATTTAACGGTTTTTTTGAAATTCAAAATTTTTCAACGGTAGAAATAAATTCGAATTTCTAAACGCTCTCATCACGTGTTTTTTCATTTGAAATATTAAAATCATTAATTATAGTACAAAAACACTGTTTCAAGACTTTTAAATGCGTTTCCCGAAAATAAAACAATGGACCTGAGCTAATAAAACAAACTAGAACTCTCTACGATGTCTAGTTAAAAAGTTTTTCTCCGCCCGAACGAACATACATAGTGAGATATTAAGCTACCTTTTAGAAACAAGTTTCAAAAATGCGCTAAAAAGTTTGAAAAACACTGGTGAAAACTTTAGTAAAATAAGTTATCCTTTTAAGTTTCTTAGTCATCAAGGCTTGGTATTAGACTAAAAACTTGGTGGTTCTCGATCAAGCTCTCAGAATCTGATGAAACTATCTCAACTATCGTTTAATATTTAAATTGTATTGCAACTATATTTGGTTGTTTTACCCTTGTATAGTTGTACCCCCCTTGTTTCAAACAAAACCTTTGTTAAACATCTGTCTTATTTATTCAATCCGTGAGCAGTCTTAAATTAAACTTATCAATAAATATGCATTCTGACAAACTCGAGGGGGCTTTTTCCATTTCAGCGTGCTGCAAAGCTGTAAATTAAAATGAACTACATAAAATTAATAATGAGAACTGCCAAATTTTTATTTTAAATTAGTTTTTTCATGTTTAAAGACTTTTCTTTTCTTTATTTTTGCATAATTAATAGTTATTTACAAAATATACAGCGACAAAATTTTTTTCTCTTTTTATTTTTTGTTTGAACGAAAAGGTAACCATCAAAGAAAGGAAAAATGTTTACAATTTGCCGGAAAAAATAATTGAGAGATACACTTATTAATCAACCATTGAATAACAGAAATTTTCATTCGAATTTTCTTTTCTTTTTTATTGTAATTTAATATTTTTTTCTTTATTTTGGAAAATTTTTCTCAATTTTTCCTTTCTTTATATATTTTTTTTTTGTTGCTGGAGTTAGAGGAACTCTTTTATATCAAGATTGAATATCCAATAGATTCAATCTTACAATAAATTTACAAAAAAGATCCTCAAACTCCATGATTTCTCGTAAATTTTAGAATTTTTTGCAAACAATCCATCGTGTAGCATGACGATTGAACACGTGAGAATGAAATCAACTTGATTTTGATAGCTAAACAATAAGGTTAAAGCCAGATATTTTTGAAGATAGAGGTTAACTGGGAAAGTTGTTAAGAAATGCTCTAATTTATTCTGAGTGAGTAGTGGCTTAGCAAATGTAAGGTTCTCAAAATCTAGACTAAGGAGCAACTGATGTAGTTTATGATATTTTGTGCTAATCTTAGTCTCAAACTATACAGGAAACTCCAAAATCTGAACTTTATTTTTTTGGAACTTAGTTTTTGGCGCCACAAACCTTAAACAGTTGCCTACTCGATACCTCTTAGCAATAAAGCCAAAAAAGGTTTGGGAAAATGAAATTTTTGTTTTTCTTTTCACTTTTTATAGGTTTTTGGGGAAATTTATTCATCATCTTAGGAGAAAATGTGAATGATTCATTCATCACTCATCGGCGATGATTTCTGTCACATCGTTCAATCGAAATGAATCAATTTATTTCTTAATTTTTTTTTCGTACCATTTCGTCAAATGTGTATTTTAGCCTAAGTGTTTTATGTCCATTGTGATCTATGCAACTAAAAACAACTTAATTAAGTTAAGTTATATTTACATTATTTAAAAACTTTTTTCTTCTTTAGATAATCACCAACAATTCATTTCTTTGTTACAAGCTTGGTTGATGACATTCCAAATTTCTTTTGTTTTCAGTCACAATCTAGAACTTTTTTTTTATAATCCAATTTATAAGACTTTCCTCGTCCTCGTCTGTCCATTATTCTTTTTCTTGTGTAATAAAAATTACATTTATTTACATTATTAAGTTAAAATAATAATATTAAAAATAATAAAAACAACTTTTAATGATTCAACAATTTTTCAATTCTTTTTCACATTTTTCTTTTTTTGAGGTGACGGAAAACAAAAGAAATTCAATCATTAATTTTTCATCATTTCTATTTTTCATGAAAGAATCTTTTTCTTATTTTTAATTCGAAGAAAAACAGTAAAAGAAACTTGAAATTAGTCAAGTTCATCCCGTTGCTTCATGAGAATCAAAAAATGACGAATATCGGCATATTTGAGTGATCAGTTATTCACACGGGCTTGACTTTTTAATACTTTTAATTTCCACTTTAAATTTTTTTTTTCTCTAGAGTTGATGAATTTTTATGGCTGGATGTGAATCTTCATGAGAGTTTATTAAGCATTTCCCATGTAGAAAGCTTTTAAACAAATCTCAGTTCACAAAGGTTTGATTCATAAATTAGACCTGGAAAGCACACGGTTTAAAAATGGTAAAAAATGTTGTTCAGGACAGCATAAACGAGGGATTTCACCAAATCTAGCGTCGTGCCACATTCATGCCGTCCTGTCACCACATTTTTTGTCTATTTTACGCAGTGTGCCTTCCGATAAAGCTACAATGAGTTTTAGATTGACTAGTTATGGCAATGGCGTTGCTATTGTCAATACACGGACCAAGCAGCACCACAATGCTAAGTAGTCAATTTAAATCTTATTGCCACTTTTTTGTGAACAACTTTAAATTATAAAGTTTTCATTCCCAGCACTGAAAAGACCTAGCATTTCAGGACCAGAACTAAAGTTAACCTGAATTTTCAAATCAAGCCAGAAAAGTTTTTCAGCTCCAAATTCTCTCGATTTCCAACTCGACTGTTGAAGATGTTGTAAGACTTAGGGTTTGTAATATTTTATTAACCAAAGTTTAAAGAGTTTCAGTGATTATCTAGTAAGTTGGTGAAAGCTTCAACAATCTCCTGGAAATCGATCAAAAAAGATGAATTTCTATATGGATCATTGTTATAGTCCCCAAAGCTATAATAATACGAAATAAAGATGGAATTTATTCGACATAAGATAGTCTAAGGGACATATATCAACTTGCCATATACGAAAAACACCACCGTTTTATGAAATAATTAATTTATTTTACTCTTTTTTTTAAAGTTTTTCCCTCATATTTTTTGAAAAAAATCACAGAAATTTAAAAACTTATGCAACATTTCTTTATCATTACTATTACTATAAATTTATTAATATTATTCTTTTTTTATCATTATCATTAATATAATTAATTATTATTATTTCTCGCCATTTAACATTTTTTACTCTCTTTTTTTTTAAAACTTATCTTCACTGTTTCCTCAAAAAAAATTTATTTTTTTAGCATTTCAATAAACCTTTACTCTAATCCAATCCATTTCCATTTATAACTTCTTTATTTTAACAATTTTTTTCATACTTTACTTTTTTAAGATTTTTTTTTAATAAAAAAATGAATTTCATGAGATCAAGGTTTATATTCTTTTCATTTTTTTGTTGATAATTTATTACTTTTTATTATACGCGCATGTGTGTGTGTGTGTGTATGTTTTCCATGTATGAGTGTTCTTTTTTCACCATTTATTTAGTGTTTATTATATGTACGTGTGTGTGTATCTATATGTTTGTGTGTGATAAATGTCAATATCCTTTTTCTTCATTCATCATAATTTTTCAATATTTTTCTTTAATTTTTAAATTCGTCATAATCGGGATTTTTTTGTTTCGAATCTAGTACTTAAGTTTCGATAGTGTCACATTCAGGTTAAAGTCTTCATCGGGGAGTTTTGTTTTTGGTTCTTATACGGTTGCAATGACAATAAGCAAATAAGCAATATTAGCAACTTTGAACATCAAATCAGGCGCAATGCGTTGTAAGCTATCATTCGCAAAATCACATGATGGAAAGATGTGAACGACATAAGATGCATTTTGACTTCCTGGATCTGCGATATTTATGATACCTGCAGCCTGTTTTAATTGAAGATAGTTGATGAAACTAACTTGAAGATTCTCGGTTTGCCTTAGTACGTCACTGTAGTCGAAGCCACATGGTAGTGCAAGTAACACGCAATGTTCATCTTCAATCTATAAAAAATAGTCGAATTAATAATATTAATCTGAAGCCTGTCTGTAAATTTCATCAATCACTTACCGTCATTTTTCTAGCGACTCCATCAATTTGCGATGGTTCTAATCGCATACGTTGTGCAATTCTTAATGGTGGTGTTGTATGATCAGCATTAATTGGCAATGCAGCCTTTGCAATCTTTTTGTTTCCATGCACAAAGTGCATTTGTACAGCAGCCTGTTCAGTCTTAAGAGCCAATAATCCTTGCCACATGAGTGGATAACGTTCAAGTAACCTCGATAATGTATCAGCATGTGGTGGTACTTGACTTGCAATTGGTGGAGTAGCCAGTTGAATTGGTCTTTGGTTTGTTACTGGCGCAACGAGATTTTGAGTAGGTGGACCTTGCGGTGTATACACAATTTTAACAGCATCATCCTTCTCACGATGCTCTCGCTCACGTTGTACGTGGGTCAAATTTGGTTGAATTGTTTGTTGTTGTCCTGCATAGACAGTTGTAGATGTCGGATGAGGACGGTGAGCAGGTGGTGGTTCTGTATTTGGTAATGGTTTAATTGCCTCGCCTTCATAGAAATATGGTTGAGGTATTCGAGGTGATAGATATAATGGAGCCATCATTGGTGAATCTATAATAAATAAATTTATGTTCTTAAGCAGGTTGAATAATTGAAAGAATTGATTTCAAACTTACCAGTTATTCTATCGCTAGGACTTTGTAACGGCATTGATGTTGTTCGTCGTAATTCTAATGGAGGACTAGCAGCTCTTGGTTCTTCAATTTCTGGCAATTCCCTTTGTTGTTCTGTTGTGCCTGGCATTCCAATTCGAGGTCTACAAAAATTACAAATTAATTAATATTAATCAAATGATCAAGCAATGATTGAACTTACATTGGAAGTCGACCATATTCCGATCCTCGCATATACATTGTCGGTTGCGGATATAATTTGGTCATCAAATATGGTGGACGCTGTAAATGAAAGATTATTTTATTAAAATACTGGTTTTGAAAGCATTTAACAAGGAACAACTTAAATCTTAATGAGAATAATCCAAGCATTTTCATGTACTTATATAGAACATACTTGAAAATGCCATGATTTGTTAATTAAATGAACATATTTCTAGACATAATAATATTAGATAAATATAAAAAGTTGTTAGTACCGTCGTCAAAGGCGACGTTTGATGAGCTGGAGGTGGACTTTGTGAGCGATAAGCACTTCGATCACCATGCTGCTGGTTAGTATTACAGTTTATTTATTTTTTTATGTAAGCAGTAACAAAAGCACATTTATCAAATGAATGGAAAAAGAGAAAGAGAGAGAGAAAATGAGAAAATTGCCATCATGAGTCACCAGTTTTTTTGAATGAGTTACAAATTCAATGTTTTTAGCAAGAACTAACATTAATTGGCTATGGAATTGGTAAAATTCTAAACTTACCATAACTGAATCCTCAAAAGCTTCAGGAGGATAATGCCTTGGTGGAATATGTTGATCCTTTGGACTTACTGTTGGAATTGCAATCCTTGAACTACTTGCACCTGTAATTTTAATAGTTTATTTTAGAAAAATTCCTAATTATCTATAATCTTATTTGATCTTACCTGTAACGATTGGTTGTTGACTACCGATGTGTGCCTTTAATGGTGGAGAGGCAACAGCACCAGTTAGAATTTGAGGTGGCTGAGTCAATCCAATAATCGTTTTACTTGGATGATTAACAATTGTTGGTGCATGATGAACTGGCTGAGGTGGATGTCCACTTGGTGTCTCAATCACATATGTCTGCTTTCTAGGAATTGGAGATGCTTGTGCCATTTGTGACGGTTGCTGCTGAGATTGATGTTGTTGTTGTTGTGCTCTCTGATGATCCTCATATTCCATTACGTATCGTTTTAATGGCGCTTTCTCATGTGCTACCCATTGCTGTCTATCATTCTGAACTACCTCATGTGGTTGTGATGTAATTGGAATATTAGAAATTACTTGTCCCGAGTTTGTTATATAAACTTTCTGTTGATGCGAAATTGGCATGGGAATGTGCTGTACGCTAACTTGTGGCTGATTTGGAATCTTCTCAATAATTTTAGTTTGCTGCTGTGATTGTTGCTGCATTGGTCCTTGATGAATTTGCTGAACAATCTGTTGAGGTGGTTTTGATTGCGTTGGAGATGGAAGTGACTGCTGATGTGGAGCATATTTTGTTTGATAATTTGGAAACATCTTGTGTTTGCCTTCAACAAATATCACCTCACGATTGTCACTATATCCAACTGGTGCATTAACAATTTTCGTTCCAGGTGGAATGTAAGTTGTTCTAACTCCTTGTTGTGTTACTTTTGGTCCTTCCTGACTCGATATTACAGTATGTGTATGCTGTGTTGGCTGTTGTGTCGCTTTTACGACAACTGTAGCTGATGGAGGCATCTGTTGAGTTGGAAGCGTTCTTTGAATAACTTGCTTAACTGTCATTCGAGATGGCGATGGAATGCTTGGACTTCCACTTGTTGAATTTGGAATATTTATCATTAAATTTCCAGCTCCATGCTGTTGATTCGTAATTAAAGGCATTTGATGGGCTTGTGGATGTATAACAATTTGAGGTTGTGATGTATTTGGTGGTATTTTTTGATGAATAATTTGCGGTTTATTTTGAGGATGCGGCATTCCTGACACAGTAGTATGTGGAGGAACTGGATGAATAATAGTTGTTTGACTGTGTGGCTGCATAACAATAGTTTTTTGTTGCTGTTGAACTTGCGTTGGTGGCTGTGCAACATATTTTGTACTGTTTACATTTGGTGGAATGATATTGCCCAAATTATAAATTGTTGGCGGTTGCTGAACATTTCCTGATGGAACATTCATTTTAACAATATTCTGAGATGATATAACTGTTGTGGGCGTATTTGGAATCGATGTATTGACCACAGAGACTGGAGGTTTTCCAATTGGTTGTGTGTTGTAAATGTAATTTTTCAAAGGTTTGCAAGCCATTGCTTGTGGATTTTGTGTAATTACAGGCTTTATTACATGCGGTGGTTCCGTTATAATTGAAGATTTTGGAGGTTCGATAACGACTGGTGAAGATACCTTAATAACATTATGAGGCATTGAAGGTGGTGGAATTATCTTCTTCTCATCTTGATGCTGCTGCAAAGGATGAGTTTGCAAAACTGAATGACTTTGTTGATGCTGCAGAACTGAATGATTTTGTTGTTGTTGTTGTAATGGATGATTTTGAGGCATAGGATGATTTGGCTGTTGAATTGTATGATTTTGATGGTGCAATTTAGTTTGCTCAATATGATATACTGGCTGAACAATAGCTGGAGCAGGTTGTGAGACAATAATTGGTGCCGATTGAGTAACAACGACTGTTTGTGTAGGTGGTTGCTGTAATATTGTCGTTCTATTATCTGACACAGGAACATATTGACCTTCCTTGCTTTGCGTCATCTTTTGTAATTCACCTGTTACTGGATCAATAAGTTGTAATAATTCTGTACCCTCTTTTTTCGGTGGTAGCATTTCCTGATGTGGTTTCGTGACGGAGATCTGTGTAGGTAATTGAATAATTTTAGGTGGTTCTGGCTGAATTGGAGCTTTAATTAAAATTGGCTTGATTTCTGCTTCAACTGGTGGAATAACTTGCTGCATAGTTGTAACAACAACATTTGACTTTTCATCCTTCTTTTCATTTTCACTTTCAGATGTTTCTGAAGCCTTTCTATCCTTTTGCTTTTTATTTGTACGTGTCTGTTTCTTAGTCTCAATTGGAATAGGAACTGTTGGTTGTGTTATCGGTTGTGGATTTATTGGAAGATTGCTTTGCACAACGTTTACTTGTGGAACTGGATTTTGTCTTGTTACTCGATTTGTTCTTGCATTAGCCATATTTGATAAAATTGCAGGCATTGAATTTCGAATAACATCATCAATTGTATCATCAACAGAAGTTCTTGGTCCATCCTTCTCAAGTAATCTTTTTGATTTTCTTGTATTACCAGGCTGAACAAATTCATCAGGATGATGAGCTGGTGATGAAATTTGTGGCTGTGATGGAGAAGGTGGAATCAAATGTTCTGGAGGTGACTCAATAACTGTCGGTTGTGGTACGATGGGATTATTTGATACAGCTGTAGTACTTGTCGTAACTGTTGAAACAACTGGTGTTACTGAGCATGTACTCTGAATAATTGTAGATTGTGTAGTGACAGGCTGAGTAACAGTTGATGTCGTTGAAGCTGTACTCTTAATCGTCATAATCAAACGTGGTCTTGGATCTGCAGATTTTATTAATTCTTCACCCGAATCATCGTGGAACTCATAAACATCCGATTCTGAAATCTTTTGCTGTCTAGGTCCGGATGTTGGCGGTGATAAAGGCAATGACTGTTGTGGAGTAAACACAATACTCTTTGGATTTGTAGTTTTTCCACCTCGACCACGTTTTGCTGCATTTGCTGTCTTCCCACCACGTCTAGTTTGAGGTGAAGACGGCACTTCCTCTTGAATAGGCTGTTGAACTCGTGGAGGTGATTGAGCAATAGCACCTTTTCTTCCACGTTGCTTACCACCACCCCTATTTTTCTTAAAGTTTGGATTTTCTTTTTCTATTGAGTTATCAAGTGAACTTCCTTCAGTTTCATCATCTTCGTGGGAAGTTTCCGATAAAGTTTCCTTCTTTTCCAATGGTTTCTCAACAACCTTTTCTTGTTGAACTGCGACTTCGTCTTCCTTTTTACTATCTTCAACTTTCTGTATGACTGTATTAGGCTCTGGTTGCCATTGATTGATTTTCTCTTTCGGCTCAACTGGAACATCTAGTTGAACATTCTTAGTCTGAACAACATGAGCAGAGTTGATAGTTGTTGGTGGATAAATAATTTGGGATTGACGAATTGTATTTGGTTGCGTCACGGGCTTTTGCACCACACTTACTGGTTTTATTTCTACCTTTCTTTCAGGCACTGTTATTTGAGTGAACTTTGGAATTACTTGAATATTCTGCGGCTGTGGAATAGGCTCCTTACTTTCAATTACAGGTGTTATGATTGGTGTAATAACTTTTGGAACATTGTTAGACTGAGGAGAATGTTGTTGCAGTGGTTGTGGAGTTTGGACATTTGAAGTGTGTATCAATATCGTCTTATTTTCAGCTTTATTTGGAATTGCAATAATTTTAGGCCCACTTTGTGTCGGAGAAATAATTGTAGGTGTATTTGATGTATTCATAGTGAAAATATTAATCTGCGAATCTTTTCCAATAGCAGGTGTAATTGGACTATACAATGGATTGATTTTCGTCGGACTCGATTGATGTTTTCTTGGAGATGATTTATCATTAAACGATGATAATTGTTGTTCAGTTGGAATAGTTATTGTGGGTGGTTCATATCTATGAACAGTAGATGATTTTGCTACCTTTTCTACTTTTTCCACAATTTTCTCTTCCTTTTTAACCTCTTCAACCACCTTCTCAACTGGTTTCGGTATAATTTCCTTTTCTGGTTCTTTAATTGATTTTAATGCTTCATTTAACTGAGATACCTCTTTTGTAGGTTCTTCATCAATCTTTAAAGATTTTTCTGAAGAATCTGAAATGTCTAGTTTCTCTTTCTCAGTTGGAGCTACTTCTACATCAGGAGTTTTGGGTGGTTCATCGAACGACAACTGAGGATTACTTAAATTCTCTTCCTCCACAGGATCTTCTGTGTCAGTATCAATTTGAAGATCGTGCTCTGATTGTGGCGTATCAATTTTTCGCTCAATTTCGGAATTAAGGCTCATAATTGCCTTTTTCATTTCCTCATCTTCTTCTGGTGGAATTATTGAAAGATCTTCAATACTTTCTGGGATGTCATTGTCAGCACTTACAATAGGGACGTCATATGGATCGTTATAATCTTCATGTGTCATACTGAAACTTTCTCCCAACAATGCTGCAACAGCATCTTCTGTTTCCTCTTGTGAGATAATTACACGTGATTTCTCTTCAGGTTTTTCACTCTCTGTTTTTGATGACTTTTTGTCATGAATGGTAGTTGTTGTTTCAGCAGGTACATTTGAAACTTCCTCCTTTATTACAATAGGCTTCTTTTCCAGTTCAGCTGCAATTGACATAACAGCTTTTTCATGAACTGTTTCATCGATTGGAACTCCACCAAAACCAGGGATTGTCATTTCAGGTTTCGGTTTTGATTCCTTCTTTATTTGCGAGACAGGTGACAAAAGTTGTGGAGGATTTGATTCAACCTTACTAGTTTCATCAATAATTAGTGACGGCACTGAAGGCTTAATAACATCTTCACATACAACATCCAGATTCATTTTAGTATTGTTATTGTTGTTGAATTGACTTGCAGTCTCCATATTAGCATCAATTGGTTCTTCTTTTATTATATTATCATAATGATGATGGTTATGGTGATGTTTTCTCTCTTCTTTCGTGCGTTTCTTCTTCTTTTTCTTCTTACTTGAATCATGATGTTTGATATCATCATCTGTGAAGTGAAACACATCGTCTGTTTTAAGCTCTTTAGAAATTTCGTTGTTGTTTATTTTATGGTCCGAATCGCTCATTAGTTGAGCTTCTAATGCCCGTCCAGCCTCATCTAGATCTACACTATTTTCTTCCTCTTTAATTATTCGCTGTTTCTCTCTTTCACGTCTTCGTTCTCGTTTCTCTTTCCGTTTCTTGGATTCTTCGCGTTGACGTTCTTTTGGTGTTAGAACTTCAAGCGTATCAGATCCAATTAATTCATCAATCTTTTCCTTTTTGATGTCAGTGAGAACAACTTGTAAATCATTCTTTATTTCAGGCTTAATTATTGATGATATTGGATGATCTTCTTCAGAAACTGAACCGAAAATGTCATCTTCCCTCTTTTGCATACTGTCAGTTGAAGATGTTGACTTTCTGTGATGTTCTTTTGAAATTTTCTTAGACTTCTTATTTGTCTTATCATCCTTGTTGACTTTATCATGATGACGTTTCTTAGAACCGTGCTTATTGTAATTCTTTTCAAATTCATGTTCTTCTGGCTTCTTTAATTCATCAAAACTATCAATTGGTTCTTCCTTGATTTCAATGGAATCATTCATCACTGGCATATCATCTTCAGATGAATCAATGACAATTCGAGAATTTTTACGATTAAAGAACTTGTTTTTCTTCCGAAGTCCATCGTGAATGTTAATTCCACTTTCAGAACTTTCGTCGTCACAAATATTTAAATGATTACGACTCTTGTGATTTTTCTTCGTGATAATTTCATCGTCCGATTCTCTCATTTCATCATCAGTCGCACTAAGATGTGACTTTTTGAATTTACTCAGGAACATATCATTACTGTTTGTGTCGTGCATATCACTATCGCTATCATCTTCAGATGTATTTAATCGTTTCTTTTCACGCTTAGCTCTTGATTGTTTTAGTGCTGTAAACTTATCCTTGATTTTCTTTTCCTCTTCTTGCTTTTTAAGATTTTTACAGGAACGAGCTTTCACCTTATCATACATGGAAATGTTTGGACCATCATCAAGAATGTCAAAAAATGATGTTTTCTTATTATTGCCATCAGAATCTTCAGAATCATCGGTGCTAATGCTTATATTAAGATTCCTCCTCTGATACTTTTTCTTGCCATGATTATCATCCGGAGACTTCCCATGATGATCATCGTGCTTCTTATGATTAGCTGTTATTTCATTTTCTTGATCAGAAAAATCTTGTTTCTTTCCATTATGATTATGCTTCAGCGATAAATTATCATCATCACTTGATCGATTTATTACATCATCCGTTATTATTGCACTTGAGATATCATTATAATGATGGACTTGGTGTGTTTGATTTTCTTTATCTTTATTACCGTTATCTCTATGATGGTGATGATGCTTCTTATTTTTATGCACCTTATCATTAGTTTTAATGATATTATCTTTTGTATTTCTTTTCAGCTCATCAAAAATGGAATCTTTTGAAGAATTTAAATCATTTTGCTTTGCTGTCCTTGTATGCAAATCCTCATCGTTGTTATGAAGTTTGTCCTTAATCGAGTTCTTTCTCTCTTTGTGCACATGATGATGATGTTTCGAGTTGTTTTTATTTGCCTCATGGTGCTTGCCATCTTTTTTGTCTTGTGACTTATTATTTTCCAAATGATTTACTGTTTCAGCAGACGAGTCAACTCCTGACATATCATCCGTGCTTGCTCGTCTTGATTTTCTTTGTAGTAAACCTGGTGATGGCGCTCGTTCAAAGATTCCTTCTTTCTTGTCTTCAGAACAGCTATCATCAGCTTTAGTCTTCTTTGATATAGTTTTTAGTACAGCTGCTTCTGATTTTATCTTTTTCTCTTCAACAAATTCTTTCTCACGATTCTTTTTGCCTTCTTTCTCCTTTCTACATGGCTCTTTTTCTTTCCTCATGTGCTCTTTAACATCATCTTTAACAGCATGTATCTCGTCATTTTCACTATTCTTTCGACGATCCTTTACATGATTTTTCTTCTCAACTATTTCATGCTCTTTCTTAATGTCATCATTAGGACTTTTCACTCCTGTTTCATGCACATCAATTTTCTTCTCTTCAATTTTAATATTTTCAGTTTCACCAACAGAACTACCACAACTTGGAAGTGATATACTTTTCACTAACTGTTTCGATGTCGTAGGATTATCGTTAGAACTATTATTATTAAGATTATTTGTACTACTTTTATTAAAACTAGCATTAAAATTATTATTACTATGATTATTATTAGTTCCTGTTGTGGCAGATGGTGATTCCTGCTGTGAAACACTTTTGCTCAATGTGCATGTCTTTGGTTTCTGTTGTGAGCTTACTGTAGCTGTTGTCGATACTATTGATGTTGCTGGATTAATTGACGTTACTGATGACACTGAAGTCGAAGTTGAACATGTCGAGACAATGCTTGTGGATGTATTATTTGAGACAACTGAACTACATGTCGTTGTTGTTGTGTGTGAAGGAAAAGGATATTGAAGGCCTTTTAATGATGATATTGAAGAAGCTGATGATGGATTCGGACTATTATAAGGAGATGATGTATTTGGACTATTCATTGGAGAGCCAGTACTTGATGATCCAAGTCGATGTTGAATCACTGTTGTAATTACTGGTTGTTGTTGAGCTGGCATATGCAACTTTCCCAATGTTGCTCCACTCAATAACGACTCGGAATGCAATACGGCTGCTGACACTGTTGAAATTGAACATATTGGACTCATACTCATAAGAGGCGACAATGTTCCAGTAAGACTCATATGGTTTGAATTAAATGATCCAAAATTGTTCTTTACGTTAATACTAGTAGATGTAGGTGCTTGGGTATTTATGTTTTCCAGTCGTTTCATATCTTCATCAAACATTGAATTTTTTAAGACATTCCTTAGTAGCTCTGGTGTTTCTGGTATTGGAATTTCTGGAACTGAATGCTTTAAATTATTCATATAATGTGATGATGAAGACGATCGTCCATTGCTACTCCAACTGTCATAGTCTTCAGATAATTTCTTTAGTCGTTCCTCTAGTGATGGAGAGGTGCTAAGTCCACCAACACCGATTGTACAAAGTTCCTGTTCTGAATCACTTGAATTCGATGTAAGTGATGGAGGACGGGGACTTGTGAGGAGTGTTTCTGATATTGAACTCCCGCTTGATATAGGTGGCATTATTGAATTTGAACGCGATCTCTCCGGATGATGTTGAGGTGATGGGCTAATAGATTTATGTATAAGACTAGAATGGTGGGCAAATGCAGACGTTAATGTACTGTTTTCATATTTCTCTACATTCATTATTGCATGCGATGATGGTAGTAGCTGGTTGGTTTGACGTAGTTGTTGGTGAAATCCTTGAGCGAATTTCGGAAGCGGTAGGTTAAGTGGTTCTCTTGATATTCTCGGTCTGTTTTGACGAGGATCTGTAGGAGCATTGTCTGGTTTCTCATCAAAAAGCGGTGTATCAGGTCTTGAGCCATGCTCACTCTCACCACCTGATGTTTCAAAGGATTGAATGGGATGTATTCGACTTTTAATTTCCAACTCATTTGCTGTCATTGATGAAGATGAACTAGATGTGCTTGCTCCTGCCGACGTTTTTCTTCTTTTATGTAGCTGATAGTTTTCAACTTGTGTATTTGAATATCTTGATAAACTATCTGTGGACGGTCGTCGACTTGTTTTTGTAAAATTAGTAGTCATTGCACCTCCTGGAACACTCGCTGTATGTTTTATATTACAATCTGATAATCGTCTAATTTCAACAGTCTTTCGATGAGCTAATTCATTATGATAATGACGGTGGTGATTATAAGTGGAATTATATGAGGAGTGCTCCCGATGATCAAGGACTTTTCCATTACAATTTGTTGTACTTGAATCATGGTGATTATTGTGATGATGATGGTGATCCTCAACTTCTTGACTATATTTTGCACGCTTTTTTGGACTTTCGGCTTCATCGCCACTGGACGGACATTTTTCCAATTGATCGAGAATTTTGTGCCTTTGACTCTCTAAAATTCTCATTTCACCTAAAATATCGTTTTTTCAAGAGTTAATAAATCAATTAATTAATTTAAAAATAAAGTTTGACAAACCTGGACTTCTATCACATCGTCGTCGCAAAACAGATGAAACAACTCCAGGTCCTTCTGACTCTCCTCTTGGCCTTTCAACTATACCAAAATTATTTATTAGATCCACATATTTGCATATTATTTTAATATTATATTTACCTGGACTTTTATCACATCTTCTACGAGATAGCAAAGTTGCTTCACCATCATTTGTAGTCATATGATCTGAATCGACTCCTCGATCTGGATCATAAGTTCCATAGGTATCTAAATATTCAGTGGAATCGTAAAATTCAGGCGATCCAGTCGCATATCGAAATTTCCTCGACACACTCCCCGCTGATAAGTGCCTTGGTGTTGAGCCGGCACTAGGTGTACTTGTTGGTGATGCTGTACCACTCATTGGATTACCAGGCCGACTAAAACTACTCGCCCTCGATCGACTTAAATTTGTTAAATAACGATTATTACAATTAGTTCCCGGAGTTGTAGACATTTCGTAATTAGAACTATTTGTTGCATTTGTATGTTTTTCTAGTCGCGCATAAAATGCATCAATACACTCTCGTGAAGCGAAGTCAACCTGTAATTTACGACCACGCATTGGTATACCACGCATTTCTTTAACTGCTTGTTGCGCTGACTGTATTTGATCAAATGTCACTAATGCCATTCGCCTCTCTCTATCAATAGTTACTTTTTGTACAGTTCCGTAGCGAGAACACTGTTGACTTAGATAATGATCAGTCACACTGTCGGCAATACCATCAAACCACACACATGTCGTGGGCATTGATTTTCCAAAGCCTAATTTTATTCTTGTCGAGCCCAAATGTTCACCATCCATTTTACGTACAGCTTTAACAACGGAAACAATATCAGCGTATTGACAAAATGCGTATGGTGATGAGCCCTGTTTCTTTATATCAATTTCTAATATTTCACCAAAACACTCAAAATGTTTTCTTAATTCTGCTACGGTAATGTCCTTCTCTAAATTACCAATAAACAGTGTGCGGGTAGATTTTGGCTGATATTCATCTAATTCGGCTTCATATGGACGAAACTCGTTATCGTCCACGTCATAGCCTTGGTACGGTTGAACTTCAATTTTACAGCCAAAAAATAACTTATCTTGAGAAACTTCTAATGCTTTATCGACATCTTCTGGTTTCTTGAAGCACACTAAAGCGTATCGATCGTGATTCTGTCCGACAACCTTCACCCACGTCACTTTTCCATGCTTTTTGTACTCATGAAATAAGCCATCCTTCAGTGACGTATCGGATGATCGAAGAGGCAGGTTTCTTACACAAATTGCTAATGGCCTATTGTCTTCCGAGTAAAATCCAAGTGAATTTGATCCACTTAGGCTTCCAGAAGACGATAATGAAGATGTACTACTTGCAGGTTTGTCGATAGAACTTTGTAATGGAACGTTTGATAATGACGCTTGAAGGTTTCTCCGATGACGCTGACTGTGATGTGAACTACCGGATAAGGACTTACTCGAACTATTTTTAAGATGTCGATGATGTGAATGATGATGAGCGGACGGTGTATTGTGAGTAATTAAATCACCAGTATTTGCCGATATTGAAATTGGACTTGAATTTGAATCTCGAGATGATGTTGGGCTACTACTATGCGTTGAACTACAACTACTTGGGCTTCTAGAATGCGACCTTGATGATCGGTTACTTATTGGTGATTCACTACCCGATCTCGACTTTATTGACTTATGGTGATGATGATGATTATTTACCAACAATTTAGATTTGTACGGCGGTTCAGTTGCTGATATAAGTGCTTGCGTTTGTGTCGTCAGGAGTTTGGAGTCCTTTAAAATATTATTGCTATTTGAAGTCGTAACAGCACTAGGTGATGATGTCTGTTGATCACTTAAATCACTATGACGATCGTATGATGAATCGGGTTGTTGAAAAACTGTATTATTGGAGTTGCTTAAATTTGTTTGACTATAATGGCTACGTGAGCTCGACGATGATGGAGACGTCTCGTACCATGTATTTGACGTCAATCTATGATGACTAATTTGATTTGATCTAAAAATGGAATAAGCCTCATTATCATATCTTCTTTTTTTAAAAATAAAATGATTTCAAATGACTTACCTATCTACGATTAATGAATAAGGACTATTTCTAAAGTGACGATCTCGTTGCCGGCCTCTAATATCATTTGAATGATAACTATTACGTCGAATAAAATCAGTTGTCGACGTTTCAGTATTACGATTTCCGCTTTGACTTGTACTCACACGATCATAAAAATTCGTCCTGTCGTAACCTGGCGAATGGTCGTCTGATGATCTGCAATTGTAAGATAAAATTTCGAAAATATTTACATAAAAGCTCATTTCTTTATTATTGTTAATTTTTTTTTTGTCTTGTAAATTATTTCGTGAGATTCTGTTTCTCTGTTGTCACTCTAAATGAATGACATTAACTTTTAATGCTCAGAGATTTTTTTCTTTCTTTCTTTTGTCTTGTCGAGGAAACAAAAAGAGGCAAAAAGAGAGTTAAGAGACGAAAAAAAATAAAATTTCATGTGAAACTTTTTGTCCTATCAAAATAAAATTAGAAAATCCTACTAAATTATAACGAGAATAAAACAAAAAAAAATTAAATAAAAGAGAAAGAGAGAAACTTCTTTCATCCGTTTAAAATTTAATAAGACATTGGATGTTTAATGTATCTCAATCTCGTATGTCTTATGAAATTTTAAACATGTTTGAATGATTACTTCAGATAATAGAAGAAAAAAAAATTCAAAAATTTAGGATAGAAATTCCCATATTGAAGTTGAATTGCATACGAAATTATTTAATAATACAACAAATACTGTTTATTAAAATTTCAGAAACTCAAAAGTTTTCTAAAAGAAAAGAAACTACACCGAAAAAGTTTTCAAAAAGAAAAACTTCGTAGTTTCTTTTCCCTCTGTTTTTGTTGATAAACAATAAATGTTGCATTAGAATTTATGTTTTATAACTAAATCAAAAAAGGATGCAATAAAATTAAATTACCGCTACAATTAATGCAACCTTCTTCAGATTTATTTGTTATTTGATTGTCACGAAAGTTTTAGACAATCAATTTCTTTTAATCAACTTAAGAGATTAAAAATATAATGATTTCATTCTAATTGTGTCTAATTTCTTTAAGTATTAAAACAAAGTTTGCAACAGAAAATAATAAAAAATTTATTTATCACCATTTTTGCACTTATCATTCAACTATCATTTAATCAACAATAATTAAATTTAAATGACATAAAAGTATAAATCTCATAGTTTAAATCTAAGTATAAAATATTTCTTTTTTATGACGAGTGTAGAAATTTCCTTCGATTTTTTTTTAAAGTTTCATTAATTAAATAATGAAAATGGAAATAAGAGGAAATGCCAAAAATAAAGTTTTGAAGAGAAATTTTTCTACACACGACATTTCAACAACTGAAACTTATTCATTCTATGATAATGATTAAAATAATATCGAATCTAATTCACTAAAATGGACGATCATACTTTTCTAACCCTGTTAATGACAAATCTAATTTATCCTAAGTCAAAACGGAACTATAAATAAAGTTTGAATTAAGATAATCCATTTTAGTGAAATTAGATTATAATTAAAAACTTTAACATTCTACAATAATAAATATATATTAAATTAAGGTAATAATAATAGAGTTGCATAATGAGTACAAGCCGTCTAATAACCATAGAAACAGTAATTACTATTACAATTAAAAAAAAATCATAATCACAGATAAAAGCACACAAAAAAGTGGGTGATTAAAGCAGTCATTAAAAATGATAAAAAAGTGATTAAAAAAATATCACAGTTTCATCAAATTCCAATTATTTCCTCTCATTACATTCAACATGATTAGGTTTGTCAAATTAAAATGAGGAAAATTAATATTATTTATAAAAAAAAATCCGCCCAACCTCATCATGCAAAACTATTATATGAAAATTCATGATAACTACTACAAGTGTAAAAACTACAATTAAATAATAAAATCTACTTAAAAAAAGATTTGATTGTGGATTGAAAAGGAATGTCATCATTGCCTTTCAATTCACTATCAATAACAAAAGTCTATAAGAAAAACAAACTTATTAATTAACTAAGATTTCTTCTTGCACTTCTTCATATATCAGATGTCGACTTCAATAAACTTTTTTCGTGTTCTTTCTTTCTTTTTTTTTCAATCAAACTTGTTGATAAATTAAAATTGATTGTGGAAAAAAAATGAGATGAAGAGATCCATAACAATACTAACCCATGACTTGATGTTGATGTATACCGTCCGTGTGGTATTGTAGCTGTTGTCTCTTGTTTCATATCACCAGTATTATCGTTCGTCTTATTATTATTAATAACTATGCTACTACCACCCTCACCCATTGTTGATGTACTATGCTGTTGCATTGCTGTCGGTTCATAATATTCTGTTGTTAGAATACGATCATCGAATTTATTCTCGGCGAGATGAGCTTTCGATGCTGACTTAATATCCATGAATGCAACTGTCGCGCATATGCCAACTGTTGGCATTCCATTATATGATGATGAATTACTACTAGAGACATTACTAAGAATACTACAACTAGTGACACCGCCAATTGTTCCATTTGATTGTTCCAATGGGTTATTATTATTGTGTAGTGAATTTGATCCAACGGTGGGTTGTGATGCGTTACTATTATTACTACAATTAATATTATTAATATTATTGTTGCTATTTGTCTGATGACATTTTCCGATGCTTGATGAATGGTGATGATGGTGTGTGGAAGACGATACGACCAGTTTGTGTTCACCAGCTTGCGACTCTGTGGTTGATGTAATTGGTGGTACTGTGCCCGATGATGTGATAATTTTAACACTTTGCACTCTGCCATATCTGCAATGAAGTAATTGCGGGAAGAAAAAATTTGTTGAAAAGAAAAAGACAAAAATAAACGGAAAAACAATAACAAAATAAAATAAAATGAGTAGTGAGAGTAGAGGTATAGAGAGATAGATAAAGAGAGATGTAGAGGTAGACATGATTTACCATTTAACTGGTATTATTTTTTGATGACATATGAACTACATATTGCTTATCATTATCTCAATATCTAGACTTGACAATCAGTTCAACCTAGGGAATCAGAGGTTTCAAATCGTATCATTTAATGCTTCAAAGTCTATACTTTTGAGCTTAAGGCACATTTTTAAGATAATCTAGTATCTATAATTTTGAATCTTTAATTCAATGTTTGGATCGAAACCGAATTTTGGATCTGCACATTACAATGACAAGTATCCTGCAATATGCTTGTAGATCTCCCTATAACTATAGTATGTGTATACAAATGTAAAATAAGTCGGGCTTGATGAGAATCGAACCCGCGATCTCTGACCACTCGATCAGAGATCCCTGCCACTTGGCCACTGAGGTACTTATATTACTTCGGCTATCCGTCATACACATCCAACCAGTTTCACAGTGAACTCTATGCTCAGGCCTATCTTATACAGATATGCTCTTTGAGTCATATCTACAATGCTTAATCATAATTCGTGGACAATAGATGCTGGGATACTCAAATAACTTCAACCTGCACCCAACACACGATGATTAATAAATGAAAAACTTAGTCTGACCTGAGATCGAACTCTGGACGATAAACTTGCTCTAGTTTAGAACTTGTAAGATCTAGTATAGATGATATTCTAGCTCAGGCTAGCAAAAACAAGTTTCTACAATTTCATGTGTTTAAGATTGAAACCTTTGGTTACCATAACTGAGATAATGATGTGTGATAGGGAATTCTTATGTAGCTATTGATGAATAATTTATAAATGTTGATTGCAGGCTTTTGTTTCGTTTGATCAACCCAAATGCATTCTTTCATCACTTTTATAACTACAAATGCTTTTTTTTTCTATACATTACATGATTATTATTAATATAGATTGTCTATTTTATAGATAAATATTTTTTTAATGCATAATGAAATGTCATTTGGATTATTTGCAAATCAAATGACATCTCGTGACCACTTATAAAATTCCATCTATACAACACAAAAAAATATATGAAACAACATAATTTTTTTTTATATATTTAGATTTAAATATAAACATAAAAGTATAAACATTAAGGTAGATGTAAAGAACTTATTAAAATAATAAGGAGTGAGTGAAGAAAAGATAATTACAGTAACTATTATTATATAACACAAAATATAAATTATACTTTTTTATATCCATAATAATGACACTTGAAGCATTTTTTTTTACTTCATCCAGAATATATTATTTTCAGAATTACAGCCAGTCAATATCATTTTACATTAAAAGTAGATTAACAGAATAAGTGACAGATGCTAAGAGAATTCAACACGACTCTTATAATCGAGTTGCGAATTGAACTGAATTGATTTTTTTTTTCAAAACAAAACTGGTAATAAAGTTGCATCATAAATCATGCACCTCGTTTGATTCGATTAAATTCAATGGATAGTGCAGATATGGGCGAAGTGAATGAGACAAGACAGTTAACAGCAGATTGAGCAGGTCTTTAACTTCTGTCATTCGTCATCAATCTTATTTTTTTTTCTTATTATAAAATCTGTGACAAGTGCTTCGTTAACATTTAAAAATATATATATAGAGGCTCGGCCGGAATTGACATATTGCATTTTAATTTGAAAATATATGTACTATGATTAAAAAGAGTATCTATATCCATAGACTACAAAATATAAATCCATGACGATGACTATTAATCAAAAGCTTATTAAAAACGTGATATCCAATGAGAGACTATTATTTTACTAAAAGTCAAAGTCAATGTGGAACACTTAACCGGTTAGCAATTAGAAAAGGAAATAATATATCATCATAGAGGCATTTAAATGTTTTCTCGCATCAAAACAAAAGTTTGCAGAAACATATGGGGTCGTTCACTTATGACGTCCATCAAAAAACCTGATTTTTAGACCCCCCTCCCCCCCTCTGTCACAAAAATTCTATAGAAAAAAATTCCATTGTTTGAACTGTCACAAAAGCCTAGACCCCCCCCCCCCCCAAATGTCAGACGTCATAAGTGAACGGCCCCTATGAAATATCCAAGGGTCGTTCGTAAGTAACGTCTTTTAATTTAAGTGGAAAGCAACTACTTTGAAAAGAAGGAACATGTTTTATAAAGGTTACGTAATTTTTGATTGCCCCTTGTTTGCTTACATTTGAGGGTCTCGAACTTTAAAACATGAAAATTCATTTCTCAAGCATTAAAGTTCAATCGAATTTCTCATTTAATGCTCTTTTAAAAGTTATAACTTTCATGATTTCGTTCCACATTTTTAAAATAGGCAGTTTTTCACTTTTCAGTGACATATACATAAGCCAGTAGCTCACCCGACAATCTCAAAAAGGTTATCTTTTTCCACAAACGGGATAGGAACAGAGTGAAGAATAGTGTAGAATGGCAATAAAGCAGTAGATGTATACAGTGAAATGTAGGTCAAAAGTTTAAACTAATAGAAAACACGATTGTCCGCAAAATGTATCATCATTATGAAAGTTTACTTTTTGGTTTTCGCTCTTTCTCTCTCACACACAACAACTGATTCAGATTGCAGTATCTGCGCCATATTTATTTATTTTTCTCATACACACTAAACCGGATTGCAAGTCTTAATGTACTTTAATTTATCATTGTATCGATTTCGCGCGCTGAATGAACTTTAATGAAAAAAAAAGAGCGCACAGTTTTTTTTTCTTCACTCGCACACAACCAGTTTTGCACAGCTGAGATTTATTAAGGTACATAAGTTGTGGTAGATAATAGAGTAAAAAGTTGAGTGAATATAGATTAATGCAGGTTGATGATTGATGCGCATTTTATATTATTAGAATTCGCACCCTAGGAATGAAGTTAAATGCACCTTAGTAGAAGTAAAGCATGAGAAATGAGTTCATGTGAGACATCTAGTAAGCAATATTGGTATTTTTAGATATCTGTGGAGCTTGAATTACACTATGGGCCAGAAATCGAAAACTTTTCCGAAAATTATTTTTTTAGTCTAAATGATAGCTCTTTCATTCCCATTTATGAAAATACTTACAAAAGTGGCCAATTCAGCCTAAGTTCCGAGTTATGGCTTTTCAAATTTTTGATTAAGAGCATTTTCTCGCCCCACAAAAATTGTCACTACTTTTCATTAGATTGATGAAACTCTTTCAATTTTTTTTTATTTGGTAGCTTAAAATAAGAGCTTTATTTTAGGATAGTAAACATTTAATTATGCATCTTTTAACTTTATGAATTTTAAGGTTTTTTCAAAAAAGCACGTGTTCAGTATAATTATGTTCGTCTAGGACTTCACTCTTAAAATAAATGATGCTGAATCTTTTTTTATATTGTAGATATAAACAAGATCTACAACTTTTATTAAAATACTATAAAGTTTTAGTAGAGTTTTGCTGATGAAATTAAGTCTTTTCTTCAAAAAAACTGCAATTTTTTGACATAAATTCCCATAACTTTTCAGGATAGCCCAAAGGAGTGGATTTTTTTTACATGCTTTGAAAGCTCTTTGGATATACTATCAGAATATATAATCAGCTTGAGTTCGGTTACTGAGACAATCTCGAGCAATTTGACTTTGAAGTGTGACCAGAAATACATTTCAAAACATAAAAATTGAAAATAAATTTTGTACGTTTTTCAAAATTTTAGTTTTTTGCTTTAGATCAATAGATCTCATCAAGGCGCATATTTTGAGTATAAATATGTCATAGTTTGAACAATTTTTATACTCAAATTTCAACAAAATCATTTTTATATATTTTTTCAACAAATTTTACTTATTTTTCAATTATTTTAAATCAAAACATATTTTAAATCTTCTGATTTTGATATTTTTTGAAATTTCTATGTTTTTATGTTAAATTGTCACTCCTAGAGCAACAATTCATAAATTTTTTTTACTTTAAGGTAATTTTTTTATAATTTTTTGCAAATTACACTCATTTTTCTTATCTTTTTTTATCAAATTTTATTTTATGATAATTCTAAATATTGAAATTTAATGTAATATGCATAAAAATTCTCTTAAATATTTAAAGATCATATTTTATCCAATTAACGTAGGAATAAAGCTGGAATGAGCAAAGCTTTGATATGTTCCTTTAATCTGAAGGTAATTTTCCTTTCGATTCAGAACATATAAGCATCCAATCATTTATTTTTAATAAATTTCGGTAAACATACTTATTTCCATGCAATTGTAAAGCATAAACTGCCTTTCAGGTTCGGAAGTTGAAAGCTCAATATTTATAATCTGACTGGACTCACTAATGGTGACTGGAATTTACCAGTATGAAATATATAAAGTATATATACAAAAGTTTGAAAAGTTTGCATCGTTTCGAAATTTATCAAAACTAAATGATGGTTCTTGAATCTATTTTTGTCTATGTATAAGGGTTTAAGTGCCTCGCTGGTCAAATAAGTAAGGCGATTGGCTCAAATTTGGTATGGTAACTCGAAGGTCGTCGGTTCCAATCCAGCCATTTCCAAATTTGTTCTTTTTCAGAAGTTTAGATACTTCGACTGCTTAATGTACGAGATCAAGCCATGCGATATTTGGATTAAGGAACGGATGAGGAACTTGAAGTGTAGCGGGAGAAATAGGAACGAGAGCTACAAGATTACCTTATAATGATAAATTGTCAGAACGGATCTGAAATGTATCACGTTGCGCCCACAGATCAGTAAAAAAAGTATATACAAAGACAAAAATTTGAAAAATCAATGAAATATGGTAAAAAACTATAAGGAACCATTCAACATTGGATAAAAATTGTCGCAATAAATTTGATAGATTGGAAAATGGTTGATAGCGTTTT